GTCTCATTTTTTTTTTTTTTTTTTTTTTTTTTTTTGTGTTTTTGATGGTAATATAGGAGGGTTAATTTCATTTAATGTAAAAAGTATGAAGGGAGATTTATTTTAATAAAAAGTACAGAGACTCATTTCAATAATTACTAGAAGTAGATAGGTAAATATAGCCTTTTGGCCAAGAGTATTTGGTATTTATATCTCATTTTTTGATAGAGTTTTTACTTAATTTTATTTGGTTAATTAACATTATTATCATTTTTTTCATGTTTTACGAAAAGTTTTTTTCATTATAAAACTATTTTAATTTGATTACTGACATCGTTAAATCATAATTTTAATAAAAGAAAATTTCCATGAACCCTGAATGTTAAAATTCATAAAAAATTTACATATTTATTTGAGTTTTAAAATTAAAAATAAGAAGTATCATATTAAATAATAAGCTAATTATACTTTCGGTTTAATCGTGTTAATATTAATATCACTTTTGCTCATACATAATTGATCTTACTCCATAAAAGATTAGCGAATCCTGTTCAAACCAAAAATTGTTTTGCACAGGATAAAAAGCTTTAGTATCTTCATATATTAATAATTACCCTAAATTGTGTTCCGTTTGCTATTTTCGTAGAAATAGTCGAATCCAGTTCCAGTTCCAGTTCCAGTTGCAGTTTTGATGAAATCAATTTTCCACAAATAAGGCAACGGAAGAAAGAATTAAGCATAATATAGCAGAAAAAATTCAGTTTCAACTTCGCAGAACCCTCAAATCGCCCCTTAAAAAATATGGGTAGGGACGGATTCATTCCTAAAAAAAAAGAAGGGACATTTGGCACCTCAAAAGTATTGATTGACCCAAATCACCCATTATTTAACTGATGATGTCATCACCGTTATGACCTCCGTTTGGCCCATGCCAGTGTGTCATTTTTTTACACGCTAGAGGCTGATGTGTACCAATAGTGCTCTTTTTACGCACTGTGTCATTTGCGTATCCTTTGTTTGACACTATGACTGATGGGTCCCACTCTTTATCCCATTTTTAACCAATATTTGATGGCGAACTTGTTTGCCCTAATTCAAAGGTTTCAGACTTGGGGGTTAGGGTTCTCTTCAAAACCATAAGGTTTCTCTCATTTTTGCAATTCCTTCCTAAAATTAGTTGAGGGGAAAAAGATTATGGGTGTTTGTAAGTTTATTCGCATGAAATCTTCCTCTAAGTTCACTTGTCTAAGTTCACTTTTGCCTTTCCTTTGCTTTGACTTCTTTTAGCTTCAAGAACAGTGTATCAAACCTTGCTGGTGAAATTTCGGCCATCAACAAATACTCTGATTCGTCGTATTTCAAAAGCTTATTTTCTCTAGCTACCTCATCGACGTGAAGACTCATCTCGCAGTAGTCTGGTTTGACTAAGAAAAAGAAGCAGAGTGAATGGGCAATCTTTAATTTCTCTGAGAAGTCAAAAGGTCGGTCTGACATTTACCGTCTTGGGTTTCTTGATCGGCATCTTGAGATGGGTCGAACCA